GTCTCTCTCCGTCCTCCTTGCTAGTTCTCCTAGCCCTGTCTGAATCGGTTAGCCCGCTAAAGGCCCTCCTACTGTCGTCCAATGTCGCCCATCGACCTTTCTAGCTTCCTCTATCCTTCCAAGAGCTTCCAATTTCTATTTCCACTACCTTATCTCCTCAATGGTTACGAGGTCATCTGTCTAACAGCTGAGGTAAGTTAGTGCTATAACGACTTGTAACCTTATCGCCGACCGCTCCAATATGTCATAAAATTTCTTTAAGTCCTCATTATCTCCTCCTTCGTCTATCGCCTCTAAAGTCTTTATCGTTTCTTTCCAGTACCGGTTGTGAGCGGCTAACACCCTGAGTATTGCACCATCTGTTGCAACTCTCCCTAACTCTCCAGCTTTCCTGGCTTCGCTTATCTTTAACCTCTCAGCCTCTCTGGTCGTCTTGTACCATGCCCTTACCCGAGACCGCCCTTCGAAGGGTGTTACTCGGAGTACGTATTTTATCCTCCRTCCTCCTTCTATTCCAATCCAAAGTCCTGTCCCCCTTGCCTCATGCAGGGCACGGCGGAAACACTCTGCCTCCTCAACTATGCACAGTCTGGTATGGAGCTGGAGTTCTATGATCACTAACACTTATGGTCCATCTAGTCTCCCTACCACATGTAATGAGTACCGATCCGTCGTGTGTAGTGCAGTCCCTGCGTTACTTTGTCTTCCGTTGTCTCGCTTTCTGCAGATCGCTTACTAGTTTCTTCGCGTGATACGCTTCTAGCCTTTACCCTCTTCAGAAAGTCTGATTTCCACACCTGGATAATCTCTCTTTCTTCCGTAAACAGATTGTCTAAGTCTCTTGTCACGAGTTCAACCCTTCGCAACTTGCCCTCGTCTTGACACGACTAGATCTCCCTTAACTTGTCCCCGAACTTCTTTACCTGGTCCAAGAGTGGTTCTTTAACGCGCTTTCTCACTCTTCCGACTGCCTCACTCTCCTCTTCCACACTCAGTCCTCATCTTTCTCCAGCTCACCCTCTCACCCTCACTCTAGCCTCCTCTACCGTCTCATCATGGTAGTGCTCCGCGCGCATATAACCATGAGACCATATCATCACATCATAGGAAATCGAGGTTTGGAAGGTCACTCGCGCCAGTACATCAGCTCTACGCTCGTGGATCAAATCCCTAGGTCGTTGTCTGCACTCACTCGCCGTCAAGTCCTCGTCTACGTACGCTCGGAGAAGTACTGTCATAGTGTATCCTGTGCTTACCAGTTGCTCTTCTACACGCATCACTGTGGCCGTCGTTCCCGGCATTCCCTAAGCTGCGACCTCGAAGAGAAATCTCGCGTCCTCTAGCCCCGCGTAATCGATCTCTGTCCGTCTCCTGCAGTACCTAATC